GGAAAGCAGTCAAGGATGGCCCAAAGCCTTGGGACCCTTCACCCGTGTGGGAGACCTGGCTCCTGGCTTCTGATTGGCTCAGCTCCAGCCGTTGAGCTCACTTGGGGAGTGAACCATTGGACAGAAGATCTTCCTGTCTCTCCTCCTTTCTGTATATCCGCCTTTCCAATAAAAATAAATACATCTTTTAAAAAAAGAAATAGAATGGAGAAGGTGGAAACTTTATTGATATGCTGGCTTATCTGTTGAAGTTTTTGTCAAGTACATTATTCACATAATATTTAGGAAATATTGGGAAAAATTTTGCTCACTTAAAAAAAAAAAATGGAAACACATTCTTCACACTTCACGGCTGTCATTTCTGAGGACGAGGTCTGGGGAGTCCAAGCCCCTGGCTTCAGCCTGGTCCAACCCTGGATGTTGTAGGTATGTGGGATGTGAGTCCTTAGATGGAAGATCTTAATCTGTTTTTGTATATATCTGTCTCTGCCTTTCAAATCAAATGAAAGTAACCAAATACGGGGTATGGCATGACACAATGCTCAAAGGCTCAGATTCTCACCTTGTAAGCACTGGGATCCTATACAGGTGCTGGTTTGTCTCCCGGCTGCTTCACTTCCCACCCAGGTTCATGTTGGTGGCCTGGAAAAACAGTTGAGGATGGCCCAAAGCCTTGGCACCCTGCACCCATGTGGGAGACCTGGAAGAAGCTCCTGGTTCTGGATTGGCGTATTTTTACGGAAAGGATATATTGAATATGTGGTGTTGTATAAAGTCATGGTATTTGAGGATTTCCTAGATTATTTCTAAGTTGGCAAAGTGAAAAGCTACATTAAAAAAGCTACAGTCCTGCAGATTTTGAAACAATAATTACTGCCTGTTGGGTTAGTCAGCTTTGTCAGGGGTACAGAGGGAGCCAGACACCTGGGGCAGAGGGTAGAGTACAGACCACTCTGCCTCTGGGCCCCAGTATGTGCAGAACTTGGGAATCCTGTAGCAGAGCCTGGCAAACAAGTCAAGTTAAGGAGTTCATCCCCCAAATGACACTTTGGGCAACATGTGTAGTAGCCTAAAGAAAAGAAGACAACTTCCAGCTGGAACTCAAGAAACTGTCCACTGTTTGGGAATGGATCCTTCTGTGCATCCCAGCCACTGAGCACAGCATCCAGCCTGGAGTTAATCCTTAGCAAAGGATGCAGGATGAATGAGCATCATGGGTGAAACCTACTCATGTCAGAGACTCCCGGACAGACTTGGGGGTTCTGAACTGAGGCCACTGCTGACTGGTGTGTTGATCTTGTAAATTTGTCAGCCCACTGAGCATGCAGTTCCTCTTTTGTAAAATAAGCATAAGGGTACTCAGTTTTCATGACTTTTATAGTGTAATGCTTGTAAATTGCTCTGTGAAAATACATGGTCCCAGAACAATATTGAATAGCAGTGGTCAAAGTGGACACCCTTGTCTGGTTCCAAATCTTGGTTGAAATGCTTCTAATTTTCCCCCATTCAATATAATGCTGGTTATAGGTTTGTTAAATATTGCCTTGTGTTGACAGTGTTCCTTCTATTCCCAATTTGTTAAGGTTTCTATCATGAAAGGACATTTTATCGAATGCTTTCTCTTTATCTACTGAAGTAATCATATGTTTTTTTATTTGTCAATTTGTTAACATATCACATTTGTTGACTTATAGATGTTGAACCATACCTGCATACCAGTTTTTATGTTAAAGTCCATTTCATCTGACATTAGAATGGCTACTCCTGCTTTTTCAATACATATAGTGTTATTGGATCACATTAGGCAATTTGCATTTCTATTTTTTTGTTTGGAGCCTACCAGCACCTCTTCCAGTTCTTCCTACAGAATATAATACATCCCTGGATTTATAGTCACCCATCAAACTGTAGAGCATTAGAATACATCTTTTTAACTGTTTTTGTTTTTTTTTTCCCAAAGATTTTTTTGAAAGATGGACTTGGAGAGGCAGAGACAGACTTCTTCCATCCTCTGATCTTACTCCTCAAATGGCCATGATGGCTTCAGCTGGACTAGACTGAAGCTGGGAGCCAGGAACTTCTTATAGGTCTCCCACATGAGTAGAGGGGCCATTCTCTGCTGCTTTCCCAGGCATGTTGGCAGGAAGCTACATTACGAGTACTAGGGACTCAATCCGGTGCCCATTTGGGATACCAGTGCAGCAGACAGGGGCTTAACACACTCATCAGAGCACCGGCCATGTAACTGTTTTGGTTCCCGTTAACCAACCTCCATCATTCCTCTGTCCCTTCTTAGCCTTAAATAATGACTGCTCTTAAGTCCTGATAGACTTTTTAACTTCCATGTAAGAACATGTAGTATTTGTCTCTGCCTTGTCTCACTTAACACCTCCAGTTGTGATTTTGCAGTAGATGACAGGATTTTCCTCATGGTCACTTAACATCCCATGCATTTAAGATATTCCTTGATAGACTCCACATCTTAGCTATTGTCGGTAGTACTGCAGTGAACATGGAAATGCAGGTTTCTCTTCGATACGCTGATTTCATTTTCTCTGGGCATTGAAATTACTTTGCAAATCTGCTTTGCTAAAAAACATTAAGCAATTCAAAACCAGAGATGAAAAGTTAAAATAATTCCTGCTTTAGGAATGTTAGGCTTGTGACTGTATCACTAATATGATATCCAGGGTGTTTGACCTAGCAGTCGAGATGCTAAAGAGTTAGAGAGGGAGGGAGACCAAGATTTTCTGTCTGCTGGTTCACTCTCCAAAAAACAGCAATGTCCAGTGCTGACCTGGCTGAACCCAGGAGCCTCATCTGGGATGCCCATGTGGATAGCAAGGGCACAGACACCTGGGTTGCCATCTGCTGCTTTTCCCAGGCCATTAGTAGGCAGCAATTGGGGCAACAGGGACATGAAATCGTGCCCAAATGGGATGATGGCATTGCAGGTAGCAGCTTTACCTGCTATGCCACAATATATTTGAGCCCATTCACGTATACTTTAAGATAAAATGGCTTGTAATCACTTACTGATCTCCATATGCCCATCCTAATCAAATTCAGTGCAAGAAGCTCTGAGGGGTGAGTAGGTGGGTATATGTAGGATATACTTGGATTCTAGACTTAGCCTGCTATACAATTAAGACAAAATCCTCTACAAGACTTTTAAAAAAATTGATTATCTTTACATAAAATTCTGTCTTTGGTAACTAGGTTAAAAAGTTATGTAAGCACAGAATAGCATTTTGGGATTTGAACAACAGAATATCCCCAGAGAACATAAGAATTCTTTACTTAACCTAACAATCCAGCTAGAATTGATAATCTGCTATATTAAAAACAAGACATTAAAAAAGATCTGGCAGAAGTAGCAAGGCAGTGACTAAGTCACTAAGTTTAATTATATATTTGTCACAGCAATTTGATAATCATGTAACGATGAACAATAGTTTCAGCACTTTGAATAGAGGTAAGTTAATTTCTGCAAAGGAATATAGTTGCCATTGAAATTTATAAAACTGTTTCCAGAAATAACATAGTAAAGCAACACGAAAATAAGCCAGGAAACACAATAGACTTTTCTATCCTAGAAGTCTTCATGATTGCTTTAATTTGTCCCCTAATACCTTTCACTTCTTTATTGTTTTTTCCAAGAGTCCAAACAGACTGTTTAGCAATTAAGAAACAACTACTGCTCTTCAAGGGCTACTTGGAGCGCAGAATATCTCCTTCCTTTGATTTAATCATAGAGTTTAGTAGTCTTCTGAGATAAGAAGTACTGTTGCATTTCAGAGATGGGGGCAACCGTAGCTCAAAGTTACCTGGCCAAGGTCATAAATGAAAAGCTGGGTTAAGAGCTGAATGCAGATCCATCCCACTTCAGGCCTACCCGTTCTTTCCCCTTTCCTGGAAAGGCTGTCCTGGCATGTGAGGCCTTGAGATTCAGTCTTCAGTTACCAGGCTAGAGGTTACTCTGAGTCCACTGCCCAGGGCCTGAGAAACCCCTATTTCCTGCCTACAACGGATAGTTGGTTCTCTGAGGCCTCGCGAGCTGTGATAACAATAAACCAAACTCCTATTCCCCATCTTGAGCAACAAAGTAGTAAATTGGGAATTTTGTGCTTGTTTAACTTTACTAAAGTGCCTAAAAGCTGTTTTCTGACAAAATTATGCAGAGAATGTCTACACACACATTGCACATTCAAACTGAAAGCCAATCTTTTTATAATTAAGTTATATATCATATTCTTACACATAATCATAGAGTTTTATATTTCCTTCTCAGAATTCTGTTTTTAATAAGGTTGTCAGTCAACTGTTTCCTCCCCAAGGAATTATATATAACTTTGAATGTTCAACAACCACTCACATAAATATTCTAGAACTCAAACTCAAGACATTTGTACTACAGAGTAATACCAGTCTTGATGAACATAGCTCAATCTACATACCTGTCACTCTCTTAATGAGAAGTGGCCACTTATTAGTAAGGGAAATGGGCACTACTGTCATGCATTAGATACTGTGAATAAGAAAATATGATTTTTGGAACTGTCTTTTAAAAAATTTATTTTAAAAAATACCTGAAAGACCATTCAGATCACTGAACATTAAAATGGTATAAAATAAGTAAATGCCTTTGGAAAATGAACATATATATATATATTGCTAATTAAGAGGCGATTATTTATTGGTGGTAGCCCAGTTGGTAACAAGCAATTAAAATCAAAAACACATTAGTAATGGTTTCCTATAAAAAAACTGAAGGAAATACTGATTTCATTATTAAGACTCATTTTCATAATTACCTTCTTACCAAATGAAAACAACTAGCTCAATGCTTCACCATGCTTACTTGCTGCTGAAGCTCGGTCAGGCTACATGTAAGCTGGCTCAACCCTGTCCTGTTCACCACTGTGCCCCGCAGCACTGCCCACAGTGCCCGGGCAAAAAGGAGGTGATCAACAGACGTCTGAAGAACCAAATCCAGGAAAGAGGAGGTAAAATAACTTTATTGGTTTCTTTTTTGCAAATCGTTCTGCTCAAACTATAAACTGGTAGCTCTAATTTTTAGAAATATTGATTTTAAAAACCTTACTTGAGAGGTGGAAGGACATGATCACTCGTTCTTACGCACACATACAGTAATCCAGACCACACGAGTCAAAGTTACATTCTAAGCTATGAGATATCAATAGTATATAAATAAAATTTAATAGTGAAAAAGAGATCTGGAAGCCCTGTAAATGTTTACCTTACATATGTTTGGAGTACATCTCATGGATTAAGGAAAACACAGGAAACTCATTTGTTCAGGCGGTTATTTAAGTGTTTACATACATTCTTTGTTATTTATAACTAAATTTACATTTCCTCATATTAACATATGTTCCTAATTAGCAGGTAATCAAATTATGCCAGTGAGAAAAATCCTTATAGTACCTTCATTGACTTGCTGACTCTAAGAAAACACTGAACATGAACATGTACAAAAGAGGCATCTGAATAAAACAGCATGTGCATTCTTTAATATTTGTACAATACGAGCTTTACACTTTTGTTTGGAGCAAATCTGAAGAAAACTCAGGCTTCCCATGCTAAGATAATGGTTCAGGTGACTGCCACAGAAGTACATACCAAACAAACCAAGTCACGTCCTCAGGTTTTGCGAGTACTGAGAGGATTTCCCCTGCCCTAGATGCTTTATTACATTCCTGAAAAATATAGGAGCAACAGCTTATCACAAGTCTCCACTAGCGCAGTAATGATGGAATCAAAACAACACATCAGACTTGTAAGGATGCGAAGATGCAGAACAGCTAGAAGTCACAGTTTATGCCTCTTCTTGCTCTGGATAATTTAGAATTTTACGGTGTGCCTGACGTAAATATTGCTGCTGTTTGAAATAAACCTTAAATGCTCCTTTTATGGCAACAAAAGCAATTCCACCCTGGAATAAAAAGGAAAATTAGTTTTTAAGGATATATGTTTAGAGATACATAATAAAATTTACTCAGATCACAAAAGACATGGGCATTGCTGCTGAATTAATTCAGATAACTGCAAATGAAAAAGTTCCCTTTTCTATCATGGGGTGAGACAGGGAGAGAAATCAATGACTGCATGTAATGGTGGAGAAGGGCTTCCTGTGATCCTATCTGAGTCATCTTCCACTCTGCTACAGAAAGGAGAACGCCAGCACTATTACAGATTCCCAGGAAAGGGCAGCGGCAGTAGGAATATTGGCAGCAAAACCACCTGTGGGTCCAGGTCTCATTTAATCCTCCCAGTTATCTGGAAGTATAGCATTGTCTCCATTCTAAGGGCACAGAGAAGTCACGAAGTTTGATTTGGGTTTCACACCAAGGCAGCTTCTGAGTTAGGACTTAAACCAGGCGGTCTGACCCTACGAGTAGATACGCATCACAGTAAACCAGCTGGCAAGAGGAACGTGTGGGCTGAGTCGTGTACATCACAGGAGAGAAAATGCCCACAGCATTGTTCCGAAAGGCCAGAACTGCCACAGTGAGTTCTCTTTTCTTATTTCCTTGAAAGCTATCTGATGACAGAATCCAACCAAGGTGTAAGGCAAAGGAGTCAGAGATCAACTACTTAATACAGTCCCCCCCACCTTATAAAACCAACAGTTTATTCTCCTTTTATGTCACTGGAAATAAGTAACACTGAAGCCATCTTACCAAGATTGTCCTTTGTAAATTAGAGTTAACACTACTGAACATCAGTTTACCAACTATTGTTGCAATAGTAGGAAAGACAAGAGCTCCACACAAAATTCGGGTAGCAGAGACATGATCTGCTAGAGGATTGGCCTCAGCTGGAATTCGAGGAACAGGACAGCCAATACCTAGAGGAAAGCAGTGCAGTTTTAGTGCTAATAAATCAGAATAGCTAAAATATCCTCAGAAAATTTCTAAAATCATGTTATAGTTTGAAAACAAGATCAATTTGACATGTACTTTATAAACACAAATTCACAGGGCCCAGCGCAGTAGCCTGGTGGCTAAAGTCCTAGCCTTGCATGCGCCGGGATCCCATATGGGCGCTGGTTCTAATCCAGACACGCTTCCCATCCAGCTCCCTGCTTGTGGTCTTAGAAAGCAGTCGAGGATGACCCAAAGCATTGGGACCCTGCACCCGTATGGGAGACCAGGAAGAGGCTCCTGGCTTTGGTATGGCTCAGCTCTGACAGTTCTGGCCACTTGGGGAGTGAATCATCAGACGGAAGATCTTCCTCTCTTTCTCTGCTCCTCTCTGTATATCTGCCTTTACCAAACAAAACAAAGCAAAACCCAACACAATTCATGGCCTTACCTGGAAATATACTGTTCAAAATCTGTAGTTTATTTGAGTATTTACGCCATAGTCTAAGCACGTAGTCCTCCCAGCGAATCATCTTGCCTAATATCAGCATGACAGGAATAGTAGGAAGTCCGATCAAAAGGAATAAAGGATCAGCTCTCTCCATAACATCCAGACCTTCTTTATGGCCTACAACCTATGAAACAGAGGACGGCTAGAATCACTTCCATAATCTAATAAAACATGGAATGTTGAAGCTTAATTCATTTTATAGAAGATACTTAATTTTGAAAAAATACAGAAATTAAAAGCTTAAAATGTCTTTCAAGGAAAAGCCAGTCTTGAAGCTATTTCATGTTATACTGGAATAAAGTTTTTAAAGTGGCTGATAATTGAATATACTAATGAAATGGAAGGGGAAGCACTCTAGTTCCTCTCATTTGATTTGCTCAGACTGGGCTAATCAGAGGATAAAACACTAGGGACTCTGTCTTCCAAAGAAGTATCTATAGTCTTGTTCTGTTTAGCAGGCAAGCACAGTCGGGGAAGGGGCAGGAGTGGCCTGCAAGACCAGGACTTCCAGATCACTCACCTTTGGCTCTCTGCTTGATTGCTTAGGGTGTTAGGGTTCTGGCTGGCAAAGTGTGTGCTTCACAGACCTAATCTGTTTAAGGTAGGTTTTTAAGGTGGAGATTTGGGAGATCATAGTAGCAAGTCCAGTTTTCCCCACAGAACCCAGGCATTTTCCAGTGGAACTGTGGGTATCTTATCTATGAGATAATAAAGCTAATACAATCCCTTCCCACCTCTATCTGGGACTTGGGGTTATTTCTTAATTGTTTTAGACCCCAGAGGGCAAGAAGGACAAAACTTACAATTGAAATTCTACACATCCTCTCAAAATCCTTTTCACTTCCTGCTTGGTCTCAGCCTTACATTTCTCTCAGCATCTCCATTCCTCAGGAGAGTTTCTTATTTCTGGTGAATTTTCCTGAAATCCTTTCAAAGATCTTGAACGATAGTTCCCTTCAGTGCAAAGTCTCAATGCTTGCAAATTAAGGCTGTTTCTCGGAGGAGTCATTCTCATTACTTTTAACAGGGGAAGGAGAGTGAGTCTTGGGCTCCCTGCTCACTCAGGTATTGTACAACGAGGTGGCAATTTGATTTGGAAATACTTATAGTATGCTATAGTTCTGATCACACTTGAGGAGTGAGGAAAAAGGGATATTAAAAAAGATCTTGCCTGTCTCTTGAAAGAGGAGAGAAGCAGAAAAGAGGAGAGGGAAGATTACAAGCACCCAGAGCTGACACAAATTCAGGGAAATAAGCTCATGAAATATAAATGGGATTTCTCCAGAAGTAAGGTGCCCTTTGTGTCAGCCATTACATCTGATGGTTTTTAAGGTGAACAACAAGGGGATGTAAAATAAGGTCATGCTGAGAATGGTCAGGGCAGATTGAAATCCTCGGAATCAGATTTGACCCAGGTGAATATGTTCGGAAAGGGTAAAGCTTCAGTCAAATACAGTCTAGGCCTACACAGCACAGAGAACTTATCTAACCAAGACACAATGTTAAAGGGGAGGCTAGCCTCTTATTAGGGTCAAAAGTGATGGCACTGGATATGATATCTCCCATGTCTCCTCACAGAAATGAACACCTTCACATCTTGCATATAGAAGGTGATTATTCTAAGTTGCCCTAAAGTGAAAAGGCCTATATCATAATATTTCAAGAGCTCTAATTCCACAATTTGGCAAAAGTGGATTATAGCTTAGGGACTGTTTTATCCATAATGCTCTTATGGGACATTCCATTTTTGTATTTTTATTTTCCACATAATGACTACTTTAAAATTACAACTAAATGTGATTAAATTTTCTCACAGCAGTATCAATTAAATTTCAGGCACTTGGAAGAAAATCTCTCCTTTTTTGATCTAGAAATATAAAGCAGTGTGAATAGGTATGGACTATGGCAAGGGGAAATTTGTGCATCACGGTAGTGAGAACCTTGTAACCCAGAGGAAATTAAAGGGAATAGGATAAAGGATGAGCGAAGATGGGGCCCTGTACCCCTGAAATAAAGTGCACACAATAATGGGTCAGCCGTAATGATGGTCTACACAAAGTCAGTGAGCCCCCAGTATTATCAGGAACAGCCAGGCTTCATGCTTCAAAACCAAATTATTTTAAAACTTCAATTCTGGGGGCCTGGTAGGATGGTTTAATTGGCTAATCCTCTACCTTGTAAATGACAGGATCCCATATGGGAGCTGGTTCATATCCCGGCCGTTCCACTTCCCTTCCAGCTCCCTGCTTGTGACCTGGGAAACAGTGGAGGATGGCCCAAAGCCTTGGGACCTTGCTCCCATATGGGAGACCTGGAAGAAGCTCTTGGCTCCTGGCTTCGGATCAGCTCAGCTCTGGCTGTTATGGCCATTGGGGAGTGAACTAGCAGACCCGTCTCTCCTCTCTGTAGAGCTGCCTTTCCAATAAAAATAAATTAATCTTAAAAACTTCAATTCTGGGGTAAGATTTACAAAATACAGAAAAGCTTCTTGAAGATCTTACTATCCATGATGTCTAATAGGCTTACAGCAATATGCTTGTCCCACTCCCCAATGCCCAGCCTTACTGAAGAACTAAAAGCTGGATCTTCATATTCACATAGGTTGCAGTTTGTTGATGCTGAAAGGCTAAAATTTAATTAACTGTAAAATACTACTTATTTGGAACTCTCTTTTCTTTTTTTCAAAATTAGCTAAGCTGGCATTGTAGTGGGATGGGTTATGGTGCCATCTGAGTCCTAGTTTTAGACTGGTCCAGCTCTGACTGGGGCAGACATTTGGGGAGTGAACCACCAGATGAAGAGCTCAGTCTTCCTGTTCTCCCTAACCCCAACTATGCCTTTGGAATAAATAAATCCTGGGCTAAGACAGGAGCTTCTTCAGATCCCTCCTACGGACCTGGGTCCTGTTCCACTGCTTTCCCCGGGGGCATTAGGAGGGGGAGGGATGGGATGTGGAGCAGGTGGGACTTGAAACAGTGCTCATATGGGATGTCAGTGTTGCAGGCATTAGCCTATGTGTGTGTCAATGCACTGACTCTGACCTTTTTCTTTTTTTAATTTATTGCAAAGGGAGACAGAGATCTGTTGGCTCACTCCCTAAATACCTGTAATAGTCAGGGTTTTCCCAGGCTGAAGCCAGGAGCCTGTGACTTGATCTGTGTGCCCTATGAGAGCATTAGAGGTCCATGTACTTGAACCTTACCTGCTGCCTCTCTGTACAGATTAGCAGGAAGTTAGAATGAAGATGGAGTTGGAATTTGAACCTATGCATCAAGTGTTCCAAGTGGAGTCTGAATTACTGTGCCAAATGCCCACCCCAGAACCCTACTTTCATGGAATAGTGATGAACCAACAAGTTTTCCCATTCAGAATTAAGGATACTTAAACACTATAATTAAGAGTGGGTTGTCTTCACTTTAGAGACAAGAACGGGAACTAGGCTGAATATTTAAGTCCCACTGTTCCAGGATTAAATGTTCCATCTGCCTCCAGACCAGGCTTCAGTTAAGGAGCCCTAGATTAACACAGGAATTGTAATGCTTCTTCCTTGTTGTATGGCACAGGAGTAAGTAATAAAATTTATTCCACAAAATTTGTAATGAAGATTAAATGCATCAATACTTAAAAGATGTCCAGCCAGGTCCTGGGTGGGGGTGGGGAAGATGACTGTCATGTGTAATCACAATAGAGATTCAATCAGAAGGTCAGATTCAAACATGCTCCCTCCACTGCTCCGCCCCAACAGGTGAGCTTGAGCTGGCTCATGGAGAGGATGAAGGCAAATGGGAAAAGAATAGTGATCTGATTCCTGGATCTGATTTATCCAACTTCCAGAGCATTCAGAGAAGAAAAGGTGAAGAAGGAGCCAAATTTTGAAAAGCAGATCCTAAATACTACTCAGGATTCAGTGGGGCTTATTCCCCAACATATCTGCTTAGACAGTATAAGTTATTTTACTAACACACTTCATAATCATACTACAATTAACTGTTGTCACAGCCAGTCCTCCTCAGTTATGGGTTAAAAAGATCAAAGATGTTTTCTAGTCAGACAGTATATGTGAAGATTATTGCTAAATGATGCCACATTATTTGTAACTTTGGCTTGCTTACACCACTTCCATTTTATCAATCCAAATTATTTATTTCAGGGGCCAGCCTAGGTTTACTTTTCTTGAAACTCTGAATTGGGGTCAGCATTGTGTCACAGCTGGAAAAGTTGCCACCCACAACACCAGCATCCCATATGGACACCATTTTGAGTGCCAGCTGCTCCACTTCGAATCCAGCTCCCTGCTAATATACCTGGAAAAGCAGTGGAAGATAGGTCAAGTGCTTGGGCTCAGAATGAAGCTCCAGGCTCCAGGCTTCAGCCTGGCCCAGCCCTGGCCATTGTAGCCATGTGGGGAGTGAAGACTGTAAATAGGAACATATCCCATTATGCTCTGTCTCTCCCTCTCTTTAACTCTTTAAAATAATAAAATGCTTAAGTCAAAAAGCCCCAAAGTTTGAATTATCTTTCACTTTTTCTAATTTAAAATCTTGTTTGTGGAGTCTCTCTTCACACTCCCTGAATTGTATGAATGCCTCAGAAGGACAGGATGCCTGATCTCAGGGAACACCTCATAGACATGTAGTCTGGCCTTAGCTGCAGGACTGGGCCATCTCTGTTGCTGACTTCCATGCAAGGACGAAAAACACCCAGATACACACAAAAGACAGCCAGTTCTTTTAAGTCAACAGAAGAACTGAAGTGCCTCTTCAAAGAGTGGACAGAAAAGCAGCTGAATGACATTTCAGGCCAAGTTCTACAGCAAGCACCTAAGTCTGTGAACATTCTGAAATAGGCATGGACAACCAACAGGCCTTACAATTTGATACAGAGAGAACAATGAAGAGCCTGTGTAAAGACAGATGGAATTTGTTATCTTAATGACACCGGGGACAAGGCCGTAGCCACTGAAGGGAAGGTCTCTTCTGACTAGTGATGGGGACCCATTGGTGAGGACTGAATTGGGAATAAGAAAGCAGCAAGCTTAGGGTCACAAGCTCAAAGTTGTCAGTCTCACCTACCTGCCACTCAAGTAACAGCCGTAGGGCATTCTTTCCCTTCCTGGGATCCCTTAGGGATTCCTGAGGCAGCATCAATGGAATAGCTCCATCTCCTAGCACCAGTGTAGTCTGACTGCAAGGAATGGTGCACCATCCTGCCACAGACATAGGAAGGAAACATTTCTCTTCCTTGTCTTTCCTTGCTTGATTCTCACCAGCAGACCAGATGGGTCTGTAATTCCCCGTCACTTTTCTAATAAGCACTAAAACAAACAGTGCAAGCCTGAACTGAAGTTGGATGGTGGTGGTACTCTACATATTAAATCAGGCTAAGGAAATGGAATCTAAAAAAGTAGGTGGTTTTTAACCTTTTTTTCACTATACTGATGATCAGTGTTTTATACTTGGGACTCAGCTTAGTGACGGTTTCCTTACTCTTTTGGTGTCATCAATATTTTATGAAGAAATCTCACAATACTTTGTCTCACCATGACTATCAATGCAGCAAAGCAACTATAAAAGCTGCTCACTATGGATCCTGGCACAGATATTATAATGCAGTGTCTAGAATATTAGATGTAACTCCTTCTATCCCATTTTCTTCTGTGCACTCTCATATATGTATAGATATCTTCATTTTAATCAACTTTATTTGAAAGTCCAAATTAGAGATAGAAAGATCTTCCATCTGCTGCTTCAACCCCCCGACAGGCTGAGCTGAAGTTAGGAACCAGGAGCATTGCGGTCTTCCACAAGGGGGCCAGAGCCCTCCACACTGGGCTATTTGCTGCTGCTTTTCCGAAGCCATGAGCAGGGAGCTGGAGCAAAAATGGAGTGGCTGGAACACAAACCAGCATCCAAATGGGATGTTGGTGTAACAGCCTGTGGTGGCTCAACCTGCTGTGTTCTAATTTACATTTTTAAAAAGCAAATACAAGTGTGTGGCAAATCTGAGCTACTTACAAAACACTTAATCATTCTGCTGCTCTTAAAAAGCAATACTTAAGATAATAGAATAACATAGGAAGATGGAAAGTAAGATGTTGATGGAATTATTTTAGAATGATTCATTTGGGAAGAAGGATTGACAGAAAAGAATGAAGTAAGAATAGCAACCAAGAGGATCCTTTATCCACCTGGGTATGGCAGACAATGACAAGAAGCCAGGTGCTAAAGACTGGAAAGGAAGCCCAGATTCAAGACACCATCAATATGATAAAAATACTTGGACTTGGCCAGTGTTGGGCTAGGACATAGCAAGTATCAAAGGGAGCCCCAAGACTGTAGGATGTAAACTGAGCAGATGGGAGAACAACAGTAGTAATCAAAACTTAGAGAAATTATGATGATGGGGCACAGGTCTAGGTTGTAAATGGAAGAGAAAAAGTTTTGATTTCAATAATGGTGAGTGTGGAATCATAAGAGATTACTTAAGGAGAATGATCCAGCAGGGCTGGATTTCAAAGAGCAGAGAAAGATCTGAACATGAAACAACAGAGATGACCACAGGAAATCTTTAGGAAGAAAGAGAATAGTAAAGGGTCTGGTGTGAAGTATTGAAATTTAAGTCTGATATTCATCACTGGTGGTGGCATTGTTAAAATAACAAAAGACTGGAAGCAACTAACTGTCACCAATAAGAGACAGATTAGTTAAACTGTAATTTTGTAAGAATACCATAGAGATTTTTATTTAATAATATATATGAAAAGTTTTCTAAGGTTCACCATGAAAAAATAAAGAGATGTGGCTAAAATAAGCTTTCTTTTAGTAAAAAATGTAGAGAAAGGCGTTTATTTTTCTCTCAAATACATATAAAAGAAGTGTGGAAATATATATATTTCCTCCCTAGCTAGCCAATTCATATATATGTGGAAACAAAAACAGTGGCTAGCTAGGGAGGAGAGGGGCAAATGAAGCCCAGGAGTAGGAAGACGTTTTGCTAGATGTTTATGTTTTCTTACTTTCACGTTACAAGAGTGTTGTTATTCAAAATAACTTTAAAATATCCTAACAAGAATTTTAGATCTTTACACAGTAGTTATCACTGAATAGAGTAAAATAGTGAACCTGCATCACTGTCACTGCTCCATAAGTCACAGCTGTCCAATAGATAGAGCCAACCATTATTCCCGCTGCAGCAAATGGACAAGCTTTTGAGATCAGTCTATCTGCAAGATCCAAGACGTAAACAACTGGACCTACAATACAAAGAAAACAAAGTTCAATACAATCGTTGGTGAAATGACTTGGGCAATATTTTCTAAAAACCTAAAATACATTTATGAAGTTGGATATTCTAATGTTTTAGAAATAATTGTTATAAAATTGCTAAGAACCCAGATTTAAACAGGTTAGAATTTCTGTCATTTGCACGAACAGCCTAATTATTACTTCTTAAATTCAAAGAAATATCCTCTTCAAATTTTCATCTGTGTTATTGAATAAAAAGTCAGATCCCCAAATATAGCTACTGCTTATAAAGGAAATAGTTCTCTCAGTTCCACCTATTGTAGAATCAAAAGGCCATTTCCCTTAGCTCTTTGCAGTTACTAGCAATGATTAAATTATTCTGTACTCAGTAATTGGAATATCACTTCTCTGACTTCATGCATTGTACAGTATGTAAAGATAATCAAGGCTATTTTCTTACTTACAAAGTAAATATCTTATTTATTTCAATGTGCTATATTTAGTTGGATATTATTCCTTAGCAATCTTCATTTTATGACACCAGTTTTTATGGCACTCTAGAATTTGTATGTGCCAATTATGAAATTAGGCTATTATTTCCTTCTGGAACAACTAAATTTGAAGGGATTCTACTAATTACCATTAAAGCCCCTTTTAATTTTGCAAGATCAGGGGTGGGTATTTGGCGTAGCAGTGAGAATGTAACACAGGGCCTATATCCCACACTGGAACTTGGGTTTAACTCCTGCTTCTGGGTCCTGGTTCTAGCTTCCTGCCAATACAGAGCTTGGAGGTGGTGGTGAAAACTTAAGTGGTTGGGTTTTGCCACTTAGGTGAGAGACCCAGATTGAGTTCCTGGCTCCCCATGTTATAGTCATCCTGGGAGTGAACTAGCAGTGAAGCAATGAAAACGCTCTGTTTATCAAAAATAAAAACAAACAAACAGCCAAAAAACAAATAAAAATTTGAAGTCAAAGAACTGCAAAACCAAAAGAATATGAAATATTTCAGTAAACTTCTGAAGAGTCTATACATATGATTATGTGAGACATTTTCTTAGAATGTTTAAGAATTACCTACTTTCTGAGTTATTCTAAAAGAGAATACTATATACAAAACAGCCTATTTCCACTGTAAAAAGAACATGGCAATCTGATGATAAAATAATGAATCATGTATAAAAATAAGTATTCTGCAGAGACTCAATCAAGATTCCCTGAAGATGGCTTGAAGCAGAAATATCACTTGTCACTGTGTAGGGAGACTATATAATAAACTAGAGAGAATATTAAAGGAGATGTTGAAGGACCTGTGGTTTAAATGTAGTATATTGTAAGTTCTATCCTACAGAACATTTGCAACTAAAAGTATCTTTTGGGATCAATAATGAAACAAGTCTGAGTTCATGTTGCCTCTCTTATCATTTAATACAAGTTTGCATTTCTTGAGTGTTTACATGATACCAAGTGATATGCCACAGGCATATTTATTTAATCTCATGTAAGGGTGCAATTCTCAAAATTCACAGTTTTGCTGGGTTCATTTTCATAACTCCCCCAGAAGGCACAGTAGAAGTTACCATAGTCAATCATGAAAGAACCCTCAAATGCTGGAAGTAGAAGTTAAGGTCTGTGAGTATGAATAAGGAAAGCCTAGAAATATTCTCCATTAAAATCATCTGAGAAAACCGAAGACTCCTCAGTTGCAGGCAACTGCCTAGGTTGCCTTGTACCCAAGGAAGTGTTACACTGCTGGGAGAAAAGCAGCCAGTAGCTGGTGGGCATTCTGGGCCTGGTTAATGCTAAATTTGTGTTAACTATACCAGTATAGTTGCCTTTTTATTTATTTATTTTTAATGTTTAAAGATATGTGGGGAAGGCAGGGAACACCAGGCTGGAACATACCATCCTGGCCCCCAGACAGGGTGCTGCAGATGGCTTGGAGAAGGTACTAGAATGGGAGCAGTACTACAGTACCTGCCCACAGGGGTTGGAGCAGGGGGTGGACCATGTCAGGCTGGGCACAGCATCCACCATAGTGCAAGAGAACCAGTTTAGGGGGCAGATTCTGTAGGGGACTTGTGGGCTTGCCTCTGTGGGTTTGTGAGGAGAGCTGGGGTTGGTAATGGATCCAGCCAGAGTGAATCCACCCAACACTCATAGGAGTGGAGGCTAGGAGAAGACCAGGTGGGGCCAAGCTGTGGCACTTGCCAGCACATGCAGAGGCTGAGACTGAGGGCAGACCATGCCAAGATGGGTCACTGCCCCCTGGCATGTATGGCATCTGGGGCCAGGAGCCAGCCTGGTAGGGGAACATGGGAAACTCCCCTACTAGGCTACAGTTCACAATGGGAAGCACAAGAGATGGGTTTGAGGGTGAAATTGACCAGGCAGCTTGCATACACGGGTAGGTGCACTGGCTGCTACAGGTCACAGATTGAACCAAAAGCGTCAAATCTGAGATCACCCCAGGAAAGGTTTCTTGGGGGATTCTCTGAGTAGAGTACTGAACTCAGGCTCTGACCACAGGGAAAATCACTGGCCACATGTAGTCCAGCCTTGAATTAGATGTACTGAGACTGGGCCTCCTCAGCTGCTGATGCCTATGCAGTGGACAGCATGTCCAGGTGCACAAAGGGGACATGACAACCAGCTAATCTAGGCCAGCAGGCAACGTCAAGTGCCTTGTCAGAGGATGGGAAACAGAAGAGGTTGGACAATTCACCTGACCAAGCTTTGCAAGATGTTCCCAGGTCTGTGGCTGCACTAAGGTGGATTTGGTCAGCCAATGGATCTTGGAAAAATTTTCTCAACCCTGGTGCAACAAAACCAACACCTCAGAGCTATCAATACCACTCAAATGACACACTCAGTATCAGTACACTATTACCCATATCAGAATCTCTAGGGTGTCATCAGGCGACTTCCCTCATCCCTCTTCCCCGGGTACTGGTATGATCTGACAGCAAGGAGTGGCTTCTTCACCCTCCACTGACACAGGGGAAAAACAAACATTCGCCCAACCACCCTGCTCCGTGCCTGGTCCTCACTACCCTAATTGGAAGGCCATATGAGCATGCATCCCTGTCATCTATGCAAACAATATTAAAAAAAGTAAAGACATAAGAAAACATGCACAGATTCTTTCCAGCACATCTATCCAACTACATATTCCATCCATTTGAAGTCAAATCTGTACAAAAGATCCCTTCTCCTTACCAATGCAAAGCCTCAGCTCTAGCAATTCTATCTATGCTACTATATCTCCTCCCTACTTTGAACAGATTTATTCTCATCAAGTGTTAACATTGCTTCTTCTCTGTGGATCCTGGTTGCCTCTCTATTCCATTTCTCTGCTCCCCTTGCAATAACTTTTTTGAAAGACCTGCCTGTATCTTCCTCCTTTAGTTTACTCTGGAATCTATTCCATCAACACACTGCAAATTGAGGTTACTGACAGTCTCCACACAGTGAAAGCCAACAGTCTAATTTCAAACTCCATGGCTTATCAACAACCTCTTGACACAAACAATCCCCTGCCTTCCCCGTATATGTCAAAGTACAACATCAATATCTCCTGGTTTATTATTATTATTTTTAAATTTTCCCCTTGTTTACTGTTCATTTTTCAGTTTCTCTTACTGGCTTCTCCTTTTTTTTTTTTTTTTTTTTTTTAATTCTTGTTTTGTTAATTCAAGAAGCAGAGAATCAGAATGAGAGAGGAGAGGAGAGGCAGAGAGCCAGAGAACACCTCCATCTGCTGGCACACTACTGAAATACTCAAAATGGCCTGGACAAAATTGAGAGGTCAATCATGGTGAATGGCAAGGACTTGGCTACTTGAGCCATCACTGCTGCCTCACCCTCCACTGACACAGGAGAAAAACGGGGTGTGCACTGGGGAAGCCAGAATCAGAGCCAAGAATGCTGATGTAGGATGTAGTATCTTTTTTTTAAAAAAAAAAATTATTTTTATTACAAAGTCAGATATACTGAGAGGAGAAGAGACAGAGAGGAAGATCTTCCGTCGATGATTCACACCCTAAGTGACCGCACCCATATGGGATCCCGGCGCATTCAAGGTAAGGACTTTAGCCGCTAGGCTATGCCGCTGGGCCCTAGGATGTAGTGTTTTAACTGCTGAGTCAAATGTTTGCATTACTTTCCACTTCCCTTCCCTTTTTAACCACTAACACACTCCCAAATTTACTTATTAATTCTGTTTCTACTTCTAAAAATTGGAAAACTATGCCCTGTGAGCCAAATCCATCTAGATGCTTGTTTTTATTAAGTTGTATTGGAAGAAGTTCACATAACAAAGTCTTTTAAGATATTCATCATCTGGTTATTTATAGAAAAAGTCTGTGTTCCTGTGACTCTCTCAAGTATTTATTAAATTGAATTCTTTGTTGGGAAGGTGCTTCTAGTACTTGGAATTAATTACTACTGGAATGAAGCAGTAATTGCTAATATTTATATGAACATCTAAATATATTGTTTTATTCTTTTATTTTACTTAATTGGAAAGGCAGATACACAGAGAGAAAGATCTATCCACTGGTTCACTCCCCAAGTGGCCATAATGGCTGGAGCTGAGCCAATCCAAAGCCAGGAGCCAGGTGCTTCTTCCAGGTCTCCCACACAGGTTCAGGGTTCCAAGGCTTTGGGCCATCCTCCACTGCTTTTCCAGACCACAAGCAGGGAGCTGGATGGGAAGTGGAGCAGCAGGGATACAAACTGGCATCCATATGGGATCCTGGATATAAGAAAGGATTTAGCCACTAGGCTATCACTCAGGGCCTGAAAACCTAACTCATTAATTAGAATAACCCATCATTACTATTTTTGTTTATCATGAACGGCAGAGATTTTTAAATTGTTTTTTCCTGGGAAAATCTCAAGAAGGTTCTAACATGTGTCGGTTTTTCTCCAAAATCATTGGCTATGAATTCTGTAGCACAAGAAAAAAATCAACTGGATTCTTTTTAATGTGTTACAGCAAAAAGCAT